AAGACGCATATGTCAATGCATTTGCATGCATTTGCCTTGTAAAGCGGTCGTCAATATCGTCAATCCTCCCCAGTCCATCACCGGCTTTTGGCCCCGACAGGCAGCACAGATGCAACAAGCGCAGCAGGCGTGGTGCAGCCCTGCGGTAGTTGTTTCCCGATAAATCGTGTGCAGAGATGGATGCGGAGCTCGATATCCTTCACAAAGTTTTTTCTTGAAGGCGCAAATGCTGCAAGCTGCGCAATTTCAGGCCCAACTCCAGGTTCATCCAGCCAGGGGGGAAATGGGTTCGAAGCGGGGGGACACTATTTTATCTAAATGTTGTGTATGGTGCGGATGATTGGCACTCAAGGGACCAATTATTTTAGCGGGATGGGTTAAGACCGCACCCCTGTTTTGATTTTCCCTTTCATTCTTTTCTATGTCATGAAGTCATCGACACCAAAAAAGTGGTTGGCTGAATGAACAGGCTCTAGATTTAGGTGTGTTTATATATGTATACATATGCATAGTTACAATATATTAATATATGTGTATAACTATATAGATGTTCCCTGGCTTTGCAGAGGCATTTATTGTAAAGATCGCTACGGGTAGCTTCTCTCGCACTTTCTGCATGATGTATCATGGGGCATGGTGCCTCCAAAGCTAAATCCAACGCGTCGCAGGCACAAGCCCAGATGCGTGCCTTTATGCAGGTCCGCATGCTTTGCATTGCAAACAGCCAAGAACATCTGTACCCTTTATATTGCTCTCATACCTCCTCAAACATATGTAGCTGTCGAGATGCCCATGAGAAGTGTACCGAAATCACCCTTGTGCCATCCATGCATCACGGTGCCTGGACATGTCATGCCTTGTGCAGCCTCCTGGACCTCCAGCACCAGCAGCTCCGCATGCTCCGCATGCTCCGCATCCACAACATGCACCACCGCGTGCATGGGGAGCTGTGGGGATGCCTAATTTGTGGAAGGCACCTGCGGCAAATTTGTGCCACTTTGGGGTCATAGTAGATCACCAGTCGGCTGATTGTTCCCAACTGCTTGTGTTTGCAGAAGTGACCAGGTGAAGAACCTCTCACAAACTCATAACATGATCAAGTACTTTTTCAAAGCTTTCAAGTTGATGTGCAGTCTCATGTAGCTGTGGGAAGAATAGACTGCCAGCACCGCTTCCTTAAAGACTTTAGATCAGATGACATCAGATGTTTGATAGGTAAACCTGACAAGGCCTACCCTTTCAACACATGGGGTCTCATTTTCCTTCGCTTGAGTAGCGCCCCAGGCAAAAGGAGCTGGAAAGACTGGTGGCCCAAGGCCTCTAACAGTTGGGAGCCTCGAAGTCATCTTCGGGCCACTTCAGTTCCAGCTGAACAAATGCGTGGAAGATCGCGGGATTTGTTTTTGGCGGTTCATGGTGCCAGAGTCTCACATCATTCATGTTTTCTATGTTTGCTATTGAATGCTTGATATCTTGATATCGTTTGCCGTTCTTGGCTCCAGGGTCCAGTTTTTTTTTGCATCCTGTGGCTCTGCACTCTGCAGACATGCAGTGGGGTGATCCTTGGATGCAAGTCATGACCTGACGTTGCTGGAATCATGGGAGCTCACTCCATGGCAGATGTATCATTCATACATCATAGTTTGGCAGAATTTGCTTTCAATACGGATCTTGGTGTGTCATGATGCCGTCATGATGTGCTTTGATCCTGTGCGCTCAGGAGATCTTCTTGGATTTCCTCATCCTTTGTTCAGATCTTTGCGTTTGTGGCACCTTCGTTGTTGTTTTCCTCCAGTTGCGCAAGAGTAGATCGGCTGCTGGTCTGTCTCTACAGACCTTGGCGACAGTGGTAGGGGCGAGGGTCATTCATTTGATCAGCCACAATATCCAGCTGCACTACTCTCCCACGGTGCTACCATGGTTCATCTACCCAACAATGGATGTGGTGAGTGCGTGTGCAGGGGTTGCACTTCTAGTGTCCTTCTGCATGTACTACTTCCCAAGCTACGAGAAGGAGAAGGACAACTTTGGCATTCACATCTTTGAGAGGCTTGAGATCGTTGCCAAGGATAGTCCTTTGAAGACAAGCCCGGCGGTGGCAGCATCCTTTCTATACTCAGTTGTGGCAGTCTTGGCCTTCCTATGGTACTTCGTACGAAAATCTCAACGGAGCTTTCTTGTGAGCTATTTCTGCTGCTACTACGAGGCTATGGGGGCAGTAGCTTTGATCCCCCAGCTATGGATGTTTCATCAGGACAAGCGGGTTTCACCGCTTTTAGCCAATTTTGTGGTGCTCACTGCCATGCATCGGATTTTCACTCTCGCCTTCTGGATTTCTTACCCCCGGATTTTTGTGTGGCGATATCCAGACAATCGTGGCATACAGATGGCATCTGAGACGCTGAACCTTTTGATCCTCTCGGACTTCCTGTTTTACTGGGTCAGATCGAAACTTAGAGGTGATTCTGAGGTAATCATCGGAGATGGGATGATGGTTTGAGTTCGCGCCAAAAGCGCAGTGAACTGACAAGGCAAGACGTCAATGATTCGCAAGAAAGAACGAGTGGGAGGGACCCCATAAATTTATCTGTTCTTGACTGTCAGTTGCACACTTTGGGGAGCTATATGTGACAAATAATGTAGCTACACTGCCGAAGATTGATTGCTAGCCGAGCAAGCTTTTGTGCCGGGTAATTTGACAGTATTGTCCGAAGTTCCAAGCTGCCAAGGCAGCTCAACGACAGATCCGGGATGGTGACTTTCAGGCTGGACTTCTGTCACCATGTGCTTCCGGCAAAATGCTTTCAGGAGTGCTTCTCAGGTGTCCGGCTGAATTTTGTATGCAAGCCTCCTACAGCATCCGTTGACATTCCGTTGATTAGTTTCAGGGCAGTCTGAAGGTTGAGATGGAGATCCTACAGCATCCACTTGCAGTGTGTTTTTTTTCAGGTTCAAAGAGCAGCTGGACAAAAGGCAGCTGAACAGGTGCAGGAAGTCTCCCGCTCAGCCATCTCAGATCTTGGACGGTGAGGTGATTGGAGCGCCCGGATCAGGACTCTACGCATTTGGATGCATACTAATTAATGGCATACTATATGCATACTACACATAAATATATGACCGATATAACTAAAACTGGATCTCACTGATATATGTATAGTATACAGTATACACCTGAATTTCACTATATACTTATAGTTACTCTTATTTATCCAGGCATTTGTGGCATCGACTTTTACTATTATTTTTTGGTGGCGCAGCGTATGTACGGCAAGGCCATGGAGCTGTCAACTTGGGCTCAGAAGCAGCTGGCGAAGGCGTCGCAGCAGGCCTTGCATTGCAATGGGGCGACTCACAGGGCGACTCGTGGGTGTCTAGATTGAGGTAATCATGTAACTTGGAATAAAGAACTTGACGTGTTGGGGTATGTTTGAGATGAACATGAAGATAGCTGTGGTGTATTGTCATGATTTGTCATGAAATTCACTTATTACCTAAGTTACTCTGGGGCAGGGTCATGATTTTCGGAGATTCCGGGTGATTACCTCCGTGCTGAAGCTAAACATTTGGCTCCCTCTTGATGAGTACAGCCCAAGAGTGAGCTGCATTCCAATGTGAGAGTCCAATGGAAACCTGAATCGTTTGGACAGAGGGTTAACCTTTTTTGACACCAAAGTCTTCCGCAACCTTCAAGAATCACAAACAGGTGGTTGGGCAGAACAAGATCAACTCGAAAAGCACGTGAACACAAGTGAACAATGGCAGCCAATGGTTCAGTAATCAATGTCCAGGTTTTGCTGAGATTCTCAGCTAGTCTACGAGCGAGAAATGTCGACACTTCACGAAGCAATGGAGCTGGTGATGTCATGATCCATGCAGGCGTCCAGGTCCAGCCGCCTCCTGTCATGATGGCGGGAGAAAACCCTAGTGATATCTGATTTGTTTTTATTGATTGCATCAGACAGCAACAAGGTCGTTTTGTATCTCTTGTGTGGAGGGTAGCTGGCATCCACAATCCTTGCCTGTTTCACCGCTCATCGGAAAAGGTTATGTGTATTATCATGTGGGCCTTTGTCTTGTGAGGAAGCTACTTTGGGAAAGCTATGGTCAACCGGGTGGTGTGTTCCCAGCCAATGGATGCTTGCCACTGGACGAGCAATGCTAGAACTAAAAAATGCAGTCCTTACAGAAAACTCCACGCAACCAGTATGTTTGACAATTGCGGCTGCTGCGCGTCTGTCAATACATACATGCACACATATATGTTTATATATATATATGTACGTATGTATGTATGTATGTATGTAATGTAACGTAACGTAATGTAATGTAATGTAACGTAATGTAATGTAATGTAATGTATGTAATGTATGTAACGTATGTAATTAATGTATGTATTGTAATGTCATGTAATGTAATGTAATGTAGTATAATGTAATGTGGTGTCCGGCGCAACCCTTTCGCACGAAACGAGGTTCGATCGCCAAAAACTGAGGTAAAATTGCGATTTTTTCTGTGTGTACAAAGCTTCTGTGTGCTGTGTGTGAAAGCTTCTGTGTGTAAAAGCTTCTGTGTGTAAAAGCGTCTGTGTGTAAAGCCGTCTGTGTGTAAAAGTTTCTGTTGTGTAAAATCTTCTGTTGTGTAAAAGCCTCTGTGTGTAAAAGCCTCTGTGTGTAAAAGCGTCTGTGTGTAAAAGTGTTTCTGTGTAAAAGTGTTTGTGTGTAAAACCGTCTGTGTGTAAAAGCGTTTGTGTGTAAAAGCTTCTGTGTGTAAAAGCGTCTGCGTGTAAAAGCTTCTGTGTGTAAAAGCGTCTGTGTGTAAAAGTGTTTGTGTGTAAAAGTGTTTTTTTGTAAAAGTGTCTGTGTGTAAAAGCGTCTAAGTGTAAAAGCTCCTGTGTGTAAAAGCTTTTGTGTGTAAAAGCGTCTGCGTGTAAACGCTTCTGTGTGCAAAAGCTCCTGTGTGTAAAAGGGTCTGTGTTAAAAGTGTCTGTGTGTAAAAGCGTCTGTGTGTAAAAGTGTCTGTGTGTAAAAGCGTCTGTGTAAAAGCGTCTGTGTGTAAAAGCTTCTGTTTGTAAAAGCTTCTGTGGGTAAAAGCTTTGTGTGTAAAAGCGTCTGTGTAAAAGCAACTGTGTGTAAAAGCGTCTGTGTGTAAAACTGTCTGTATGTAAAAGCGCCTGTGTGTAAAAGTGTCTGTGTGTAAAAGTGCCTTGTGTGTAAAAGCGTCTGTGTGTAAAAGTGTCTGTGTGTAAAAGCACCTGTCTGTAAAAGCTTCTCCGTGTAAGGGGTTCTCTGTGTAAAAGCTTGCTCTGTGTAAAAGCTTCTGTGTGTAAAAGTGTTTGCGATGCAAACTATTGTCTTGTACTTATGCTATATTGTCTTGATACTCCTCTTCTCGACTGCCTGTAACACATCTTTAATATATTGTTTTGTAATATGGTGTCTCCATACTAACAAGAGAAGACCCTGCTCCTCTACGCTCTCGGGCCATCCGTCGTCTAGTTGAAGTATCTTTGTGGCTTCACGACCCAAGCTGAGGAGGATTTGCTAGATGAACAGGCAAGTCGATATTAATTATATTGATCTCACTGGACGACCAAAGGATTCGAAGGGCAACCTGACCAGCCCGAGTTTCCAGACAATTTTTGTTTCGAGCCACACAATGATTGTCTAGGATTGTCGCGTTTTGATTTTTAAAGTGGTTCTTCCTTTTCTTCTTTGATAAAAACATATGGCAGGATTCTATTCATATGTCCTAGCGACCTAAGAGCAACAATTTCCTGACCTAGTATTGCTCAATCTAGGCACGTCTCTGTGTTACTGTGTATTTAGTTTTTCCTATATTCAACATCTATTGAATTTTGTATATGTACTATGGTGTAGTCATATCCATAAATGTCGGTCAGCGATCCTGAACTACATGGTTGTTTGATGGTGAGGGTGGACCGAGGTTTATATTAAATAGATTTATATAGATGTTCAACTACTTCTCAAAAACAGATTCCAATTACCCGTTTCGGCAAATTTGCAAGGAGGCCAAGCGGGGCGTAAATATTCCAACTATTTGCAATATTGATCGGCCCAACTTTCAATATTAATCCGCGCGCCCTTAAATCTTATATTCTGTCTACTTTCGGATCACTATATTTATGTATTTTTTAATGATGTATTTTTAAAAATCACACACACACACACATATATATATACAAATATAGTTATTCACTGTTATATGCACATGATTGTATCCATACAGACCTGTTTACATACAAACATGCGTGCGCACATGCTTGCCTAATGCATAGAAGTCATTTTTAAGCCATACATGTATTGATGCATTGATTTGTCCGTTCGTTCCTGCATTTTGTTTCGTTTAAATATTGTTGGCTTATGAGATTGGAGGGCCGGTATGGTCTAGTGGATAAGACGCATCCCTCATGCGTCAGGCTCGGGTTGAATACCCGGGTGCAACACTAGGCGGACAGGGGGGCCACTACCCCACCCCTACAGTTAAGGGGATGAGCCAGGGTGTGGTCCGTAAAAACACTCTCTGATTAGGCACAGATTGGGGGGTTTCCGAGCCGTGTAAGAATTGCAAGAATCCTGGTCTGGTGTTTATGCATTTTTGACCAAGGTATGTGCAGGACATCAAGAACAAACCCGAGCTCAACGAGCAACACGTGGAGGTCGTGTCGCGCAAAAACAATGGAAACAAATCATGGGAATCCTCGATTTAACTTGAAAAGCTTGAGCCATATCGCGGCAACGCCCGATTTACTTGGAAAACTTGAACCATGTGGACAAAGTCAAAGTGTGTAGTTTCAATGTCTCAAAGGCGCAGAGGGTTCTGCGCAGTGCGTGAAATCAGATGCCAGGCTGACATACTTCTGAGCATACCGGGACCCATTTGAAGCATGTATGTGCAGGAGACGTTTTCATGTTAGGTATGTATGGTGAGCATGGCTAGGATGAGTCTGAGACACTTGGGTCAACCACCAGAGAGTTTGACGTCCACCAGCCAAACTATCGAAACACATCGCCCCCATCAGCCATTTGCGCAGCAGGTGTTGGACTGGCACCCAGATAGAGGCCTGGTATTGCTGTGTTTCTCGAGAGGAAGCATGCGGCTGGGGCATGCGAGTTATGCTATGCTACGTTGATGTATAAACATGTGCATGTGTATGTATGTAAAATAAAAATAAATAAATAATTATATATATACGTATGTATGTAATTATGTTATATAATGTAATGTAATGTAACGTAATGTAATTTAACATCGTGTAATATAGTGTAAGGTAAGGTAATGTAATTTATGTAATGCAATGCAATGCAATGTAGTGTAGTGTAATGTAATGTATGTATGCCTGTATGTTTGTATGCCTGTATGTCTGTATGTCTGTATGTCTGTATGTTTGTCTGTCTGTCTATCTGTATGGATGGATGGGTGGTATGTATGTAATGTAAGCAGTGTAAGTAATGTATGTAATGTATGTAATGAATGTAA